TGTGAACGCGGGTGTGCCAGAGGCGAGCTTGGACGATTTAATGGCACAAATGAAGTCGATGTAACAAAACTAATTCCATACTCTGTTATTTATAAATATATACATATATTTACACTTTTTTTTACAACAACCGACGAAATTTAAAGCTTGAAAAATAAAAATTCGAAACGAATGGTCAATGTTATCGATAATAAGTGTTAGTTAACCGAAAAGTTTAACAGCAGCAGTATAAAATACTGAAAATGTACGTAAAAATCATAAAAAGAAAGTATGTTACTTTTCTTGTTTTTGAACAGGTATAAATAGTTAAATTAAATGTTTTAATTTAAAACTGATTTTAAAATATAACTTCCAAAACAAACTGTTAGCAGTTATCGATAAGAAAATAAAATACCAAATATGAAAAAGCCACCCATAAAAAATACTTCGGTTATACGGTCACGCTGCAGAAAACAGAATATCTGTCGCGTTGTCAAATTGTTAAAACAATTTGTTTTTTATTATTTATTTCATTCTTGCCAGGCAAGTTAAATAGGAATTGATTTAAATAAGGCAAGCACCATGACCAAGAAGGACGATAAAGCACAGCCCGCTGAGGAGGTAAGTTAAGAACAGCGTTTACCGGCTCGCATCTGGGCCTCAAGCTATTGAACACGTCAGTCGCCAACCGTGTCTAAAGCAAAATGTAAATTATTTGCAGCTGGTTAAGGTGAACAAGTGGGACGGCTCTGCAGTGAAACATGCTCTGGATGATGCCGTGAAGACCTGTCTGCTTGGTGATCGTCCGCACCTAAAGGAACAGTTCGGCTTGGTCAACACTCGGCTAGTGCTCTGCGCTCTGGCCGTTGGCGTTGCCATAATGGCTCACGCCTGGGATTTCACCCATCCGTTTCCGCAGTCGAAGCCGGTGCTCCTATTCAGCGTGCTGGCCTATTTTGCGCTCATGGGCGTCCTAACGCTCCATACCACGTTCCGAGAGAAGGGCACCTTTGTTGTGGCCATCCAGAAGGATGCCGGCAACAAGACATCACGAACCTGGGAGGCGAGCTCCGATATGAAGAAATATGACGACAAATACATACTGACGCTGTGTGTGCGAGATGGGCGTGGCCAGCGTGAACAGACGAGCACCAAGTCGTGTGCCGCCTTCATCGACACCAACGGCATCATTCTCGAGAATCTGGTGGCCAACGAGGTGAATCGACTATACAACTCGCTCGCAGCCGAGAAGAAGGACAAGTAGCTTCAAGAGACGCTGCCGACGACGCCGCCGTCGATGCCGCCGTCATCCACCCAATCGCTGATTGTCTAAAATATTTTCTACTTTCCAACGACTTTAATGTGTTTTTTTTTTTTTTAATTCATTCTCATTAAATTAATTTTAGTAAATACACTAATCTTAATACATATACGTATTTCTTTGTAGTGACTATAGAGTTGTTCTATGGGATCGGAGTCGTATGTATGGCTGTGAATTAATCGTATTACTATTATGTGCTATGATAGGGAAGTGAGAAAGTTCGGCAAATGGACAAAGCTATGAGAAAAGTTTTTGTTTATCAGACTGAGACCAAAATGATAGACATTAGGATATCCAAAAATGAAAGTTCATTCATCTATAGTTTACATCAATGTGAAAGTATTGATTCTATGGAATGTAAACCTTATATTTCAATATGGTGAAAAGGAAGGACGGGCGTTCCAAATTTAATGAAGTGTGATAAGAGGGAAGCAAACTTTTTCAATATGTTAATATATATTGATAAATCATGTATATAACTCGTGCCATTGTTCAGCCCTTGCTGCACTGCAAAATTATTTGAACTCACTCCGAAGCTCTGAGTAATTTGCCCATATCATTCGTACACAAACCGAGTTATCTTTGACCTTCGTAACATGGAAAAGGAGCAGAAGGATCTACAAACTTGAAGAATACTGTTGCAATATATTGGGCTTATTCTTCAATACCCTTTTACACATATTTCCTATAAATGTTCTGTTGTTACAAAATAGCATAGGTAAGAAAGAGAGAGGAGCAGAGTAGTACCATACTGCGGATATATATCACGAAGGATGTTTAAGTCTTTTCTGTGTAAAGGTCAATGATATAGGTATTGCTCTATATATGTACTATATCAATATATCCTTCATTTAAATATTGTTTGCAAGTCGTAGACGTCATTTTAATTGTATACCCTGTACCCATTGAAAATGGAAATCAGGGTATTATGGTAGTCCCCATCGATTTGAGTCGATTTCTCCCTCTCCGTCTGTTCGCCCGTATGTTTGAACGCGTCGATCTCAGAAGATATAAGAACTAGAGACTTGAAATATTTTTTGCTAGGTCTGTGCATTACTCGCACAGATCGAGTTTGTTTCCAAAAATAGATAGCTGCTCCCGTTATTTTATTATCGTTTAAAAACCTAAGCTATCTATAGAACTAGAGTCTGCAAATTTTAAATATATATTCGTGTGTATTAAATAGCTTCGATTTTTTATATACCCAACTTTTACAAAATCTGTTGTAGCTATTTAATACTGGAAGCCAATGAAAATATTGTTTCATCACATCATATATATATGTGAAGCACAGATGGCATAGCAAATCTGATCACGTCGACAGTTCACATACATCGTAGATGAGGTGGAAAAATTACTTTGAAGCTTTCATATCCATTGTGTGAATGAGTACAAAATTAATAGTTTGAAAATATTATTCATAGAATCATGGAAAACAGCGATGGAAATAACGGAACCTATGGCAGCGACGGTTTCAGCAACGGTGGATATCAGCGCAAGTCCTTGAGAGCCGATCAAATCCTAACTCAGGACGAATTGAAGCATATAAATGATTTGTTGGATGAACGTCTTAGGGAATTAGGCTGGCAAGAGGGGATTCGTAAAAAGAGAGAAGAAATTGTGGCAGCACGAGGTGAATCGGATGATGTCGACCACGAGGTCCTAGCATTTGCAAACACATCGATGCCCCGAAGCGTGCACATGGAGCTGGCGGAACACATACGTAATATCTTGATCTCGCGCAATTACTTTGCTTAAGAGCAATACTGAGTTATGAGATATATTAAATATTGCAGAAAACTGAAGCAAATAAAATATGAGTTTGAAATAATGCAAATTTAAAATTAGACTTAAGGATAAGAACTATATATATTCTTGAACAGGCTGATGAGCTGACTTGATTTACCCATGTTCGTCAATATCAGTTCCTTGCAGGGTCCAGGGGGAAATGCTGGGAAATCTGGTGCGTACATAGAGAGAGGGAGAGAGCATGAAGAGAACTCTTCTCATAGCACATATGGGTGCTTCATATGGGGATGTGTCCATTTCGTACTTTGCCCTTTGTCGTGTCACACTTTCGCTGCCCGAATCCAAAGTGATCGAGCCGAGCAAATGCGAAATATTTGCTCTAGTTGTCCAGTCTATGTGTTGTGGCTAGTGGTATGCGATATACGAGTATAAATATAGTATTTCAAGTCTGTAGGATATTTAGCTTAGATCTCTGCGTTCGTATGGAATGATAAAAGGAGAGAGGGACATGGCTAAATCAAATCAGCGTGGCATTCTGATCAATATTATATATGCTTCACAGAGGCTGCCCCATATATTTTTTTGCCAAAACTATCATATACTTAGTCTCATTTTCAATGTGCAGTGCATAATAACCACATTTACCCGAAATTCACATTTCGCATTTTTATTTGATTCAATTTGCTGCCATATCTAATACATCGCATTAATCTGTATTGTTGGTAAGCGAATTTTGAAGGTTATAGCGCGAGCGCGAGCTAATGGCAAGATCTCGAGGAAGACATCATACACACCAGTGTCTTCATTCTCGTTTTCCTAATTTCGCATACCTTTCAACGAACCTCGTAATGATTTATTCACTTCTCCTATTCCGTTGTCCAATTTCAGTATCAAATACAGCTCGAGCTGCAGTTGTTGCTCAATATGATCCAACCAATAAAGACGCTAATTCGTGAATTCGCTTGACTACGTCTACATTGTCGTATAGCTCGTATAACTGCTATAGCTCGTATAGGTCGTGTAGCTTGTATACCTCGAGATACCAGTTATTGCCAATGAAAATGCCAGTAGAGGTAGCAAATAGCTTCGCCAGCATTTCGGGCCAGAGGGGATCAGATAAGAATAAGAACTAGTTCGTAATATTTATTGATGCCAGTTTCCACTTTGGTCGCTTTGTCTAGCGTCCTTCCGATGTGCTACTCCATTTACTCTCACTGTCTTTGGTGCCTCTACCGCCTGTTGTCGCCCCTACACAGCTATAGACCAGTCTTTCTGAATGAACCAGTCAACCCGATGGGCTACCAAGTGAACTGAGACTATCCTGAACTGAACTGAGCTTAGTAGAGCTACTCCATCCGCTCTCACTGTATTTGGTGCCTCTACCGCCTGTTGTCGCCCCTACACAGCTCTAGACCAGTCTTTCTGAATGAACCAGTCATCCCGATGGGCTACCAAGTGAACTGAGACTATCCTGAACTGAACTGAACTGAACTGTCCTGAACTGAGCTCAGTAGAGCTACTCCATCCACTCTCACTGTATTTGGTGCCTCTACCGCCTGTTTTCGCCATTACACAGCTATAGATCAGTCTTTCTGAATGAACCAGTCAACCCGATGGGCTACCAAGTTAACTGAGACTATCCTGAACTGAACTGAACTGAGCTCAGTAGAGCTACTCCACCCACTCTCACTGTATTTAGTGCCTCTACCGCCTGCTGTCGCCCCTACGCAGCTCTAGGCCAGTTTTATTAAACATTTACTGAATGAGCCAATCAACCCGCTGGGTTACCCAGTTAACCGAAATTGTCCTAAACTGAGCTCAAGCAACAGATGGAGCTCCCATTGCTGCAGACCAGATGGGCAGATGGTGTGGCCTTTGGGTGATGTTGATCAGGAGTCTGGTGTGTGTCCTGTCTGGGTGTGCACCGATCGCAGTTGGCGTCATTTGATAGAAAATTTGTTTTGTTTTTTTTTTAATTTTGCTTGAAATTGATTGTTTTCGTTTTTCGAAGCACTGAGAGACTGTGGAATGAACCGCGAAGCAGCCACAGCATGCAGATGACAGAGTTAAATTAGGCAGTAAACAAAACTACAAGCACTTTCGGCCAAATCAAATACAAAATTCAATTGTTCAAGGTAAGCGTTAAGTTGAGGCAGGACRGGACAGGACAGGACAGGGCAGGGCAGGACCGGCGAAGCGAGCAGCTCAGCAGAGGGTAAAGGGCAGAGGGCAGAGGGATGCGCGAAATTGTGACGCTGCAGATTGGGGGCGCTGGCAATGCCATTGGCGATGCGGTGAGTACCGATTGCCCCTAGCTGACTGATCCATCACGAGTGATAGCCGTATCCGTATCCGTATCCGTATCCGTACCCGTACACCGTAGTTCTGGCATGTGATCTCGCATGAGCACGGCGTGGACTATGCGTCGGGTCGCTTTGGCGGCACCAGCCAACTGCAACTGGAGCGGATCAATGTGTTCTTCAATGCAACGGCCAGCAAGCGATTCTATGCCCGATCCATACTCATCGACACGGAGGCGAGCACCGTACAGCGCCTCAGCTCCAGCAGCCAGCTGTATCGGCCGGAGAATTTTGTGGCCGGCAGCGAGAGCGCCGGCAACAACTTCGCGCGCGGCTATCACACGGACGGAGCGGCCATCCTCGACCAGGTGCTGGACAATACGCGACGCGAGGTGGAGTCCGTGGACTCGCTGCAGGGCTTCCAGCTGCTGCACTCGATTGGCGGCGGTACCGGCTCCGGCCTGACGTCGCTCATCATGGAGGCCCTGGTGCAGCAGTACCCGGACAATCTGCTCTGCAACTATGTGACCATTCCCTCGCCGAACATGTCCCAGGTGGTGGTCGAGCCGTACAATGCGCTGCTCAGCATTCCGGCGCTGGTGAACAACTCACATCTGACGTTCTGTCTGGACAACGAGGCGCTCTTCCAGATCTGCAATCGCAATCTGAAGATCCAGATGTCCGGGCACGAGCACATCAATCACATTGTCGCCCTCACCATGTCGGGCATAACCACCTGTTTGCGTTTTCCCGGCCAGCTGAACGCCGGCCTGCGTAAGATCTATGTGAATATGGTGCCCTTTCCCCGTCTACACTTCCTCATACCGGGCTTCGCGCCGCTGGTCACCTGCAAGCAGCAGCAGTTCAGCAAGGGCACCGTCGCCGAGCTGGTGCAGCAGATCTTCTCCAGCAACAATCTGCTCTGCGCCGTCGATCTGCGCAAGGGCAAGCTGCTGACGGCCGCCGGCATCTTCCGCGGCCGCATGTCGCCCCGCGAGGTCGACCAGCTGATGACCGGCGTGCGCAACAAGAATATCAACAACTTCGTCGACTGGATACCGAACAACATCAAGACGGCCATCTGTGACATTCCGCCGCGTGGGCTGAAGATGTCCGCCACCTTCATTGGCAACACGACGGCCATTCAGACGCTGTTCCAGCGCCTGCTCGATGGCTCCATAGCGATGCTGCGCCGCAAGGCCCATCTGCATTGGTACACCGGCGAGGGCATGGAGGAGCGCGAGTTCACCGATGCCCAGGAGGAGCTGCAGAACATCATCGAGGACTATCGCGGCAGTGGCGACAGCGGCGAGGGCGGCGGCGGTGGCGGAGGCGGCGGCTCCAATGATAACGATAGCATGGACGAGGCCGCTGCCAATGGACCCCAATGCACCTACTGTGCGGAATGAGCCGTAATCCATTGTTGTTGTTGTGTGGCATTCCGCTGTGCTTGGGTCGAATCTCTTGGCTAACACTTGGCAATTGGCCGTTGACTCGACATTTCAATTCAATCCGATTCAATCCAATTCAAATGATGCACTGCATCCTATTTATAGCCGGCCAAAGTTCGATGCGTTTAGAGTTCAGCGCACCAGCCAGTGCTGATGTGTATTATATATA